AAAGGGCTCTACACTTTATATTAAAATAAAATATGTTCACATTATTACGATGGCAGGCCGTTTTTTCTCACAACTGTATCCCTTCCATAAAATACACGCCGCTGTCGCCAACCATCGTCTTCCAAGCACCGAAGATCAACCATATAAACCAGTCTTACTGGCTTCTGTGATAAAAAAAACATGCGGGATTTTTTCGAAAATGATGAATTTTGCACACGTATTTAATTTAAAAGAAATTGTGCAAGACACTAACGAGTTTTTAATTTTTTCAATATCATATTGTTGCTCGAAAATTACACAAAATTGGCCAAAATGGCGTTAATAGTCGGATAAACGTTCCATTCAGGAAATTAGGTTTAAAAAATGATTATTTTTCAATAATGTTAATGATATAGGTACCCGAGTTCAAGGTATATTTGTGGTTAAAAGGGTTCATTTCATTTGGTAGGTACTTTAGTTATTTTAGATTACATTGAACGTGCTGCTAATTGTTACAAATTGTGCTACGGTAATTGGCAAGAAAGGCAATTAACTTGTTAAAAATGAAATATTTAAAAAACTATAAAGTATAGGGAAAATATCAGTGTATATTCAAAATGAATAAAATCTGTAGTAACCTAAATGAAGGAAGAAGAAAATACCATGTAACCCTAACAAAACCTCTAGCGGTAAGTGAAGCCCATGTTTATATAAATTGTACAAACATTATCTAGCATGCACTTACCTGCCATTATTGTACCACCCCGAAGTACTAGATTATTAGGCAAGATGCTAAACTATACCGATGAAAAGTTCTCGTTGAAGTGACTACAAATTTGGCACTAGGATAAATTTAACGCCTATATAAATGCAAGATTGTTGGAAATGTGTATAGTATTTTGTTAGCTATAAGGTAGTTTTACTCTACAACTTGATGTATTCTATGCAACTCTACTGCAATAGTTGTTTTTGCAACAAGAGTGGATATGATGGCCGTATCGCACGAAGAGGTAGACGAAGGCGGAGTGCTCAGTCTTCTGAGTGCGATATAGACAATCCACTCGATTTGTACGGTATATTTTTTCTTCAGCCCACTAACGAAAATCTACAAATTTATAAAATTAAAAAATATTTTTGGTTATTAAGACAAAATAACTAATTTTAAAATAATTTATGACTTTTATTAATTTATAAAATAAAATAAACATAAAAAAATAGCTTTAGTTTAATTAGTCCCTATCCCAGATTTGGACTCTTGCGTGAAAAGTAGACGCTGTGTCCTGAAATATTTTATTCTAATGACATTTTTTATTGCCTTGTTTGTATAATTTAGTATTTTCAAAAATATTAAGTGTATTAGTAAATTGGATCCCTGCAGGTATTAAATGAAAATAAGGCTGTTGGTAAATTATTCTACAGTTGGTAATAAAATAAGTCTCGAAAACAGCAATAAGTATCAAACATTCATTGTGATTATGACAGACATTTAGAGTCGCTTAGGGTAAGTGTTCGCAGCGGGTAAGTGTGCTATCTTCATTACAAAAATAAGGCAACAAGTCTTGTAAGGGCAAGGTTTTAATAAAGTGCAAGTTGACAGATTCTTTGGTAACTTAAAGGAACTGTATGAAAAATACAATTTTAACTCGAATTGCATCTTTAACATGGATGAAACTGGGATGAGTACGGTTTCTAAAAAGACACCCAGAGTCGTATCCGTGAATAGGAAAAGGTGTATTTGCAGAGAGAGGCATTACAATAACCACTGTTTGTTGCATGAGCGCCACTGGTCAGTTTATACCACCTGTCTTCATTTTTCCGAGGAAAAAGAGGAAGGGTGAGCCCCTGGATGCAGGGCTCACCGGCTGTGTTGGTATGGTATCTGATTCCGGATTCATAAATTCAGATCTGTTCATAAATTGGTTATATCATTTTAAGGATCATGTTCATCTTACGAAAGATTCTCCTGTCTTACTAATTTTAGACAATCACTCATCCCATATTAATTTGGAAGAATCTCTTTACTGCAGAGAACATGGTATTTCACTTATTACTTTAGCTGCGAACAGCAGCCACAAATTCCAACCAAGTATACCATCGAGTGTGACCGTTGGATGACTCAACATCCTGGGAGGGCTATCAAACAATATCAAGAAGCTGCTCTTTTTAATGAAGCCTACAAACAAGTTGCTACAGCAGGTAATGCTACCTCAGGATTTTCAGTGACAATATAAATACTGACCCGCCAACCAAAGAAATGAAAATGAGCCAGAAAACAACCAAAAACTGATGATCAGATTTTTAAAACACCACAAGTTTTAAAGACAGAGAAAACTGAACATATTGCACTTACTGCGATCAGTCCACTACCAAAAAGAAATGACACAGAGAAAAGAAAAAGAAAGGCCCTTAAATCGGAAATAATAACTTCAAGTCCATTTAAAGAAGATTTGGAAAACAAAACGAAGAATTAGCTAAATTAAGCAAAAGGAAGATCTTTATCTTTATCCCCTCAACCTGGACCGTCGGTTGTTTCTCGTACTTCAAAAACTAAAAAAATTGCCCAATAAGAAAAAAAATTATTGTGTCCATTATGCAACGAAAAATATGTAGAGCCACCTGCTGAAGAATGGATTCAGTGTTTCAAATGCGAAGAATGGTGGCATGAAGAATGCACCTCCTATGAAACAGAGGTATTTTTATGTGGTTTATGCAAATAAATATGTGCGTATACTTAGCATGAAGGCCGTGAACAGTTACCCCAATGGTAAGACAAGTGCGCGCATAAAAACTTAGTTTTTTATTAATAAAACTGAGAATCCCAAAGTTTATGTTTTTTTATTTTTCGTCTGTTGATTTGTAATGTACCAATGTAATAAATATTTGTTTATGAGTAATATAGGTTTACTTTGTCCGTTTGCCCGATGTTACGTTTTTTGTCTGCACGATTAGTCAAAAACGAAAAATGATATCAAATTAAAAATTTTAAACAAAAAATCACAAAAATCAAGCTATATAACAGAACAGAGCTTATTGATTTTCAAAAAATTTGATTTAAAATAAGTTGTTAAGATGGCATAGGTTTCAACTCAAAATTGCCTAGGTGTTCTGCTGCCTTATTATTTAACATTACAAATTAGCAATGAATATCCAACATAAAAAAATCCTAAAATTTAACACTTGCCTTCCTTCGTCTGGTGCAGTCTAACGATTATTTTTGTAAATCGTAAATCGAAGGCCTTTGAAATTTTGGTGATATATAAGGCCGACTAAAAGACACTTTTATTTCATTGATTCTTTTGTTTTTTTGTATTAAAATAAAATATATTTTTTATAGATTCTAATTTATTTATGGTTCCTATTTATAGAAAAGAAAAGTAAGTTTATTTTTTTTAACATCTTCTTGTATCTACCATTTGTATGCAAGTCATAGTCCGTAATAGACACATAGTTGATATTGATATTAGATTCGGAAGCATACATAATACCATGGTATGACACTAACAGTGATTCGTATTCGTGATCCGAAAAAATGGATTCGAATCACTTGCAAAAAGGATACGGATTCGTGATTCGAATCAATTTTTTGAGGATTCGTCCCAGCTCTGGAACAAATGATGGATGGCAATGTTAATATGGTGATACAATTAGAACATGTTTTGTATTCTGATGAGTGTACCTTTACACTTCACGGTCATGCTAATCGTCAAAATTGCCGCTTCGCCACTTTTCAAAGAGGTCGTAGGAAAATATTTTTTTACATTCTAGGAAAGCAAATCATTGCTTTGTTTTACTGTCTACATCTGCTTCGTTAACAGCCCTGTTTATTTTTTTAATTTTTGTATTCCAGTGAATTCAAAGTAATTTCTAGATATACGTATAACTGCAAATATTATAATATTACAATACAATAATTCAGGGAATTTCAATGAAAACTCTCCAGAGATTTATAACCAAGATTAGATTGTTTACAAAATTTTTGAAGCCAACAAAAGTTCACATTCCAAGCGTCCTTGGAAAAAATACAATATTCTGATTATACATTGCTGCCAACTTTGCGGCGTTCTTAACAGTAGTAATGCAATTACTTACGTTATTTCGTTATCGAAAAAAGTGTAACATCTGACAACAGCGCAATAAGAAACAATCGATATTTATGTGAAACTTATTTTAGTCAGTAGTTTTACCCCATTCACCACAAGAAAAATGTCAAAATAGTTGCCTTTATTGGATAGTCAAAGAAACATTTTAACCCACTTTTCGACTTTTATTTGAGATGTTAAATGAATTATTTGGAATTAAGCTCTTTATTTCCATTTTTTTTTCCTTTTTTCACTTCTATTTTTTCCTATGACGTGTTCCTAACTATTTTTTGTACTTTTTCATGAAAGTCTCGCCATTAAATTAATTGGGTGGATATTTTTCATTGAAATTCCCTGTATATAATACCGAAAGGAAGAAAGTAACACTTATATAATCTTCCATAATTTTATTATCCCTCAAAACATTGCACCTTTTAATGGTTCGATGATTGCGCTGTAGTTATCAGAAGCAAATGACTTTTAACCTCTACAATATTGCACTAGATAATCAAAATAATAATTTCTCTACAACGTTATTTTAACAATATTTGTCTTTTTTGTTAAACGTTAAAGTAAATTACTTGATTATTACCTGATATTCCATATCTCTAACAAGTATTTCTTATTTTTCTTTAAAACTAATTTACTTCATCACGTTTTCTCAAGAAGGCTTTGATAATAAAATTGTGACCACGTTTCGAGATATTTTTTGTAGATAAATTTTTGACTTGAGTGTTTCTTCGAAGCATTCGTCAATGAACGGTCGTTAAAGTTTCGTTTATTGCACTTAAATTTTTCTGAAAATAATCTGTACATACAATTAGTGAATAAGTTATCTAAGAAATACAATGTTTTATGATACTAATAGAATTATTTTAATCTAAATGTTTTTAGAAAATTTCTTTAAGGTCGTTTTAATTAAGATACTTATTTTTGTTTCAGATTTTGAAGGTATGGAGATTAATATTGACAAGGTAAGATATTTCCATTTGTAGAAGTTTACATAATTTGAGTTACTGTTATAACTGAGCTTCAAAAGAAAAGTTCAATTGTACAATCGTTACCTATTTATTATTTTTAGCTATCAGCACTGCTATTAATATTTTTTAGCTAAATAGTTAAGTTAACTATCTGACTTTCGAATCCTTCAGTTTTCAAAAAAAAAAATTTGTAATATATTAGTGTATTAAATGTTTTCCGATTTATTGCAAAAATTAACATTAACAAAATAAAATTTTTTGATTACCGAAATTCACTACAGCGCACTCAATACTTATTTCCCATTTAGGTCTTGATAATGAGAAAGTAAGAAAAATCATTTCAGCGTTCCTTTTTACTGACATAACATAAACAAGCTATAGGAGACCGGGGCTGGTTGGCTCACTTTTCATATTTCAATTTTTTTTCGTCAATTTTAATAAGATCTGTACAACAATATTGCCTGTAGTTTTGGCTACTGTTATACATAATCATGTTCGTTAGAATTTTAAATATAAGGCACGGGTGGTTTGAACTTGGTTTAACCGCGAAGTCCTGGGACATGAAATTTTCTTTCAGGGATTTGTTCCTTCAGTCATTCCAAGTAGAAATAAGCAATTTTCAGCTCAAACCACTGGGCTATTTTTTAATGAGGCCATTTTTCCGCAAATTATATAATTGAAATGTTGAAAAAAAAAATGTTCGCGATCCTGGTAGCTATTTTACTCAATTCAAAAATCTTTATTGTTGTGAATCCTCTCAAACGTTTAGGATTTGTTTACATTTGGTGCTATTATTCTGTTTATGTGAATGTTCTGTGCACATTTTTTGTACAGCGATGTGTGTGTATGTGTGTATTTGTGATGTTGTTATTGTCCAGTAGGCCGGTTCAATGACCTGTTGTTTTGCTTTTTTTATATTTAATTTTATTATTTAGTATTCGCCCTGAGGGCATAGAAGAAGTATCACTGAACCGCGTTGAAATGGCATTTCAAATCCAACGGCACGCTAATCATTCTTTGTCTCATGAAGAAAATCGGAAAAAGTTGTGTCTAATTTGTCTCAAGAAAAAAAAATACTTCCATGAAATAAACGGGACACTGCAGAAACATCTTTAAAAAGTGACAAATGGCAAAGTTGACTAACACTTGGACGATTCCAGACTTCCAAATGTACTGTGTTTAAACTGTAGAAAAATTGTGTATAAAAAAATAAGTGACTACAATCCTAACGGATATTTAGAGGAATTGAATTTACCAGACTTTTCGGTGTTCAACGGGGAGCAAATCATGACAAGGGCCCAAAAACCTTGCATGTGCTACTTGTGTCTTCTGGCTAGACAATCTAGAAGTGAAAGAGAAGGAACAACTTGTGAGCGTGCTCATCAAAGATTTGCAAATCAATCGTACCTCAGACCAAAGTCCTGACAGTGAACCTGGATCTTCTAAAAGTTTATAGAAATACCCAAGAAAATGTTGCTCCCAGAGTGATTTCAGTTGAGGACTTCTCTAAAATAGGGACCAGATTTAACCTGAGTGGAAAAGTTGCCATTGGAATCGCTAGTGCAGTGAGGGTTGCAACAAAATCTCGAAAAATCGTTGAATCCGGCTTAAAAACGTACCTACATGCCAAAAATCATTACGTTGAAACATTCTTCAAATGTGAATTTGAGTTTGATTTCGTGAAAATTAAAGGAAAGGAGCTGGAAGAAACACCAAAAACGGTCGTTTTTTGTAGCGATGTTCATGGTTTTTTGCAGTACGTGTAAGAAAAGAGACTAGAACGAAATATTCAGTCGAAATTTGGAGTTGACGGTGGAGGTGGATTTTTGAAAGTGTGCTGCTCAGTGCTAACGCGAAATTTGAATGAAGAAGAAGTTGTCCCTGAGAAAAGGCAGAGATATACAGACGATGTTTTAGCAAATGATTTAAAGGATTCTGATGTTAAAAGACTTTTTATATTGGTTATTGGAAAATGCACTCAAGAAAATTACGATAATGTCGCCGCTCTATGGAATCTCTTACAAATCAACAATTTTGATGGAACAATAGCCACTGATCTGAAATTGGCAAACATCCTTTCCGGTCTCATGGCCCACTCAGCATCGCATCCATGTACATGGTGTGATGTACACAAGACAAACCTTAAGGATTGCGGATCTTATCGCACAATAGGAAATTGTCTGGCAAATTATGAGAACTGGACAGCGAATGACGCAATCTTCAAAAATGCCAAGGATTATAAAAACTGTATAAAACCCTCAATACTTTCCACCGACGATGACAAGAGAATTATTAACATTATCCCTCCACCTGAACTCCATTTAATGCTAGGAGTAGTAAATACAATAGTCGGAGTCATGGCGAAAGAATGCGAAGTTGACACCAATAAGTGATTGAAAACATGCGGTGTAGAAAGAGAAGTAACCCATGGTGGCTCTGGATTTAAGGGAAACTCGTGTAGGATATTGTTAAAATGAGTGGACGTCCTTCGCCAGTTTTGCTGCCTGCAGTGCCTAAAACACGCACAAGTTCTTCAGGTTTTCAACGAAGTGGTTGTAAAGTGTTTCTCAACCGCTTTGTTAGACGGTTTCTCCAAGAGCATAGAAAAATTCACAATTAATTATTTAGCTTCGGATTTGCCAGTGACGCCCAAAGTTCATGTCGTGTTTCACCACATTGAAGATTTTTGTGACGACAAACAAATTGGATTAGGTTTTTACAACGAGCAGGCAATGGAATCAGTTCATTTTGATTTAAATACCTTGTGGTCAAAATATTGTGTCTCAGAAAATCATTCGAGCTATGGTCAAAGATTATATGATACCGTGGTTGCATATAATAGTCATAATCTGTAAGATTTAACCTAAGTGGAAAAGTTGCCCTTGGAATCGCTAGTGCAGTGAGGGTTGCAACAAAATCTCGAAAAATCGTTGAATCCGGCTTAAAAACATTTAGTACAGAATAAAAATCCTCGTTATACTTCTAATAATAAAACTCATTGTTCATTTTTCACTTATTTCCAGCTATCGAAGTGGGTGGGACAACAAAAATATTTGAAAGAGTGATCTCTTATTTGAGATTTTTTTCATCTCCTCGCCTACAATTGTTTCCATGTTAAAAATTGATTTTTTCGCGAAAAACGGCTTCACTCAAAAATAGCCCGGTGGTTTTGGCTGAAAATTGTTTATTTCGACTTTGGATGACTGAAGGAACATATCACGGTTAAACAGACTTCAAACCACCCGTGAAGGTTTTGGCAACCCGTTATGTACACACAATCCCTGTTACGGGGCTGGTTAATACAACCTGTGGGGTTGGTTGGCATAACCTTTCGGGTTGGTTGGTTCAACCTTTGGGATTGGTTTGAACATACTAAGACATGATATTATTTGTTAACAAAATATTATTTACCTAAAACTACAAAAAATAACACCAAAAAGTTATGATTTTTAGCATCGTCTGAATCACAATTCTCACAGATTTAGAGCGGTGTATATCCATTAGCAGAAGCTTCATGAGCCCATCCATTACATTTTGTACATTTTACCCATTGTTCTTTAGGACAGCTATTTGCAAAACTGTCTAAACATATCAGACAGCAGCAGTCTTTTTCCTCTTCAGAAGTTTCGCTTTTATTCTTTTTTTTTTCTTTGAAAATATTTGCTTTTTAGCTTGTTGGATTTTTGTTAGATTTTCTGTGTTTGCTTGCTTCTTTATCTCTCTTTTTCTTTTCCCGTTTTGCCTTTCTTCCAGCAATTTCCGTCTTTTTCCTTTAAATTGCCTCCTTTTCTGCCATTAACTGATCTTTTATCGGAGTATCATTTAAAATGGCTGCAGTTCTCTTCTTTTTTCCTTTTCTGTTATCAACTGAGAATTTTGCTGCAGCTCTCGGCAAGGGTCTAATTTGTTCGAGTTCAGATAATGTTTGAACTTGAAGATGGCCCAGCTTTTTTTAAGTCACGTTGTTAGTTATTTACCTGTCTGTTTTTTTTGCCAATTCTAAAAGATCGCCCTTCTTGTTTTTCTTTGTGCAGTTTACAGTAACGTGCTAGGATTCTGTATGGCATAATATAATAATCTGTGACTTCTCATGCTGTTTTAATACCTAAAACAGCAACCTTATTTATTGCTTGCATAATAATAGCTTCTTTTTCTATTGTAGCCCTAGTAAAGAGATATTTTAATTTTGTAAAAGCCAGGTTACAGAGCACTAACAGAGCTCTATTTTTGTATATAAATAGATTTTAAATAGTTCAATAGGTAGATGGCGCTGCGCTCAATGATTTTTTTTTTCAATGGGAGGCTCTTTTTTATGTAAAAAATGTATTTTTAAGCATATTTTGTTCTATGAACTAATTCGATAAATCTAGCCAATTTTGATATACAGAGTGGTCCACTCAAAACAGTTTCATCCTGTTTTTGGGAAATAATCATTGGATTTTAAGAAAATGCTTTAACTGGTCGATTTTTATTTCAAATTGGACACATTTTCACAATACAGACATCTGTCACGTGTCAACCCCCTCCCTTGGACTTATCCAACCTCTTAATTTTAAATAGATAATGTACCATGCATGGCACATCAATGAAAAGGTAACTTTATGGGGGTGCAAAAATATCACTGTACATTGTGTTACTTAAATGTTAGCGCCCTATAGCGAGATAAAAACTATTACATATTAAAAAGTGTGACCCTACCATGTGTAGTACATCATTAAAAAGATAATTTTATGGGGAATTCAGAAATATGACTGTTTATTGAGATACTTTTAATTTTAGGGCCCTCTATCGGATTAAACAACTGTAACGTATTATAAAGTGCTGCGACACTTCATTTAAAAGCAATTTTATTACTAATTCAATGCACGATATAACATTAATATAAATATCCTCATGCATTATTTTTAAACATTATTACTAACTTTATTTTGTTGCAAGTGCAATATGAAGATATTTATAATAATTTTATGTGATACATTCAATTAGTAATTAAATTCGCTTTCAAATAAGGTATCACACTTTATAATACGATACAGTTTTCTTTTAAAATTAAAATTATCGCAATAAACAGTCATATTTATGAATTCCCCATAAAATTACCTTTTCCATGATGTACCGAACATGGTACATTCCCTTTTTGAAATTAGGGGTTGGAGAAATGGAAGGAAGGGAGTAGTTACATGACAGATGTCTGTATTGTAAAAATATGTTTAATTTGGAATAAAAATCGACTAGCTGTAGCATTTTCCTAAAATGTAATGAATAAAGCTAAATAACAGGGTGAAACTGTTTGGCGTGGCCCACTCTGTATATCGAAAATGGCTAGATTAATCGAATTAGTTCATAGAAAAAATCTGCTTAAAAATGCATTTTTTACAAGATTCGCTATATAAGAAAGATCCTTCCATCGAAAAAAAAAAAAAAAAATATTGAGCGAAGCGCCATCTACATATTGACCAATTAAAAATTAATTTATATCTAAAATTGAAGCTCTCATAGTGCTTCATGATCTGGCTTTTACAGAATTAAAATATCTCTATTTCTTACCAAAATATCCGCCTGGGAGTTTTTATTGGTATATGACTGCCGTTGCTACGCTCCAACAAAAAAAACAAGACAGAACAAAAACAACAACAGAAACCTGAAGCATATAATTTTATATACAAAAATATTTTAGCAATCTTTATATAGTTGTCAATATTTTACTTTTATAAATTCAAAAATAAATTAAATTTTTTATTAAATTAAAAATTATTATGTTTTCAGAAGAAATAAGTGGTAAACCAAATGGCTCAAGTAAAACTTGGTTAACAGTTACTAATACTAAATGGTCAAAATTTGCTAAACAATTATTTTACTTGGCAAAGAGCCGCTATTTCACGATTTAAAATAATATAAATAGCAAAAATATGTGGAATTTCCACAATAAGAATTAAAAAACCACTATTTAATAAATGCAGTCTAATTGCCATCTAAATTTTACTATTAGATTACTTTTAAATGTAAAAGTTTGGTACCACCTAATCTAACCATTTCTTCTAATAGGATACACAATACAATAATTATTGTTTAAATATACTAGCATAAAAACCGAGAATCTCAGTGCAGGCACGTTCCAACTTCTGTAATTTTAAAATGCAATTTTTCGGAACCTGCTAGTCAAAAAATTATAAATTAGGGCACCATTTAAAAGAGAATTAAACGCCATTTAAAATAATGTGCCACTAGACCCCCTTTTCCATTCAAGATTTTAAGGGTAACGTCTACCCCTCCCAAAAGTATTCATTGTAGGTGTCCCCATTGAAAATAAATTAACGTGATACTTAAATGAAAATAAAGTAGGTGTTTTTAAACGGCAAATAACATTAACGTCATTTGATATACATTTTTGTGGTAAATATAAATGTCCTTGTAGATACGGTCCGTACCTAGTACCTAGTTGACAGGAAGAATTATGGCCTCAGATATACCATACCAAGATGTAATGTAAAGATGCATGGTATCTAACCCACGTTCTTTTCCATCAACTGTGCGCCTGCTATTTCTCTTTAACCATGACTTCGAACATTTCTTTCTTCACCATAACGGCATAGGAAAAATTACACACAATACGGCGTTGTTGAAAATTTATATTAGTAGTAAGGGTCGACATTTAGAGATAAGGGTAAAACTTGTAGATATTTGTGTTTATACTCAAGAGCTTTGCGTTAATAAATACTTCATTAGTAAAATGTTGATTAGATTATTGGAAAATGTATTTAAAAAAAAAAAAAACTGGTGCAGTAATAATAAAAATTATGTTTTCAGAGTTTTTAAGAGTTTGTTTTTAATAATTATAAAGCAGTTTTTAAAATTTGAAATTTATCCAGAATCTAATACCGTCATATACTTTTATTTTGGTAGCACTTTAATGGTTTCAAAATATTCAAAACTTTTAAAACGTGACTTGAGACGGAAACGACTGCTATTTCTGTAGTATCTTATGTGTAAATAAACTATGTAACTATTTGCTATTGCCAAAATAATCGGTAGATAAGAATCTAAAAGTACGATGGAACTTTTTATTCTTTTTGGTTGTCTATTTCATAATTAAATATACAAAGAAAAAAATCTGATGTGTCCAACACATGACTTTCCTATCTAGTTATTATAGGCTTTTTCCGGTTATATTTTGTACAACCTATTGCAGCATCTCTATAAATGTTTAGAGGATAAACTAAATATATACATTGTCCACATACATCTACCTCGAAACATTTTTCTATAAATATTCATTGAAAACGAAAATACTGAAAAATTTAAATGTAGCACTTTTCCATTACGGTCCATTTTAGAAAAATCATGTATAAACAAAAATTATAGAGATCGATATCGCAAACAACTTTTAGTTCAA